AGGTGAGCTTCGCAGTACCGTGGTACTCCCACAGACAAGCCTGGGCCAGGAGGCATAGTCCTGGGACCGCCGACCTTCCACCCAGAGGAAAAAAGAGAAACTGTAGTATAAGCAATAAGAATATAAGAACATGCGGGAAAGAGGGTGGGGTGCATTGAGCACTGAAGATTGGGGGAGGATCCTTCCTGGGACAGTAAAATAACAAGTGGGTGGGCCGGAGAGCCTTCTGGTGAGAGCGGGGCGTGCGCGCCCAGCAACCAGAGAGCGGAAAGCTTGTGAGGTGGTGGAGGGAGAACTCACAGAGACGGGGGGGGACGACCCACTTCCCACATGAACTTGTAACAAACATTGGTGGCTGGCAAGAGCAGCCAGCACGCCAGTAATCGGAGGCAGGAAAGCCTTGTAAAAGGCAGCAGAGGAAGGAAAACGCCACAGGAGAGGGGGGAAGAACCCACTTCCACATGAACTGTAAATAAACACACAGGAGCTGAGAAGTGGATGCGTGTCACTTTCCCCAGTGTGTGCTTTGAAAGGGAAAGCTTGCAGCAGAGCGCGCACAAGAAAACTCTTAGGAAACAAGCCTGAGGGCCAGGTGAGTTGCTAAGGCTCACCCTGAATCTGCATAAATACGCCTCCAGCAACAGCAGGGCTGACAGGCAGTGCGCAGGCAAAGACACAGCCACAGATAGCAACTCACAGACTGTCTCCAGACTCTTTTTTTTTTTTTCTTTTCTCCCTACCTTTGATGAGAGAACAACCGAATTAACCTACATTGCTGAAAAACTTACTGAAACGTATGCATTGAACTTGACACTTGGTGGGGTTTTTTTTTTTGTGTGGTGTGTGTGGTTAGTTTTGTTTCTACTTATGATCGACACCTGAGAAAACAGAAACAACATTCTGAGGCCATCTCCAGGATTGGAGACTGAGACGGACACCCCAATTATTAAGACCTGAAACTTCATCAACATCTTGACCTTGGATGTTTTTCGTTTTTTTGCTTTTTTTTTTAATTTTCTATTTTTTCTTTTATTTTAATTATATATATATATTCTGTCATACTTACTTTTTTTTTTTTATTTTTTGATTTTGAATCCTCTCCTCATGTCTCTCTAATTGTCTGGCTTCAGCTTACTGTCAATTACAGTACACTAATGCTCCCTGTTTATACCTTTGAAACTTCTTTCTGATTCCTGTTCTGTTTTCTCTTGTTGTTTATTTGTTTTTCCCTTTCTTTCTTCTTCTTTCCATCTCCAGCTCACCCTTCCATTCTTAATATTACCATTGTTATTATTACAAGCTAGAAAATACTTAATTGCACACAGTACAGGACAGTAACAACACAAAGACAATGACGGGAGACAGAAAAACAGGGGAACCAGTTTCCCACAGCAAAAAATTAGTACAGGAACAGAGGGAAGGAAGAAAAGGTACTCAGATCCAGCTCCAACAAAAATGAAGATAAACTATGCCAAAGGAAACCAATGAAGCCCATAAGAATAATTTAAAAGAAGACATACTACAGGTACTCATGAGAATTTTTAGAGATGATGACTGGATAGGGTCAACCAAAATGTACAGGAGACACTCAAGAAATTCCAAGACAACAAAAATAGAGAATTTGAAAAAGCAAAAAGAAGAAATAAAGGAAACCATAGAAGCACTGTATAAACACCAAAGTGAAAGAGAGAACACAATGAATAAACAGATAAATGAACTCAGGACAAATAGACAACATTAAAGAGAAACCAGCCAGGATATGGAAAAACCTCAGAAAAAAGAACAAAACAGAACTGCAAAACAACGGAGAAGGCCAATCCAGCAGAATGAACAAACAGAGACAGAATCTCAGAACTTGAAGATGAAATGGTAATTAAAGGAAAACGAAAGAAGAACTATTATTAAACAACTCAAGACTGTGAAAAGAAAATGAAGGAACTCACTGACTCCATCAAAAGACCAAACTTGAGAATATGGCATTCGAGAAGGAGAAGAGCAAGCAATGGAATGGTAATATATTCAACAACAATAATAACGGAAGAATTTCCCAAATCTAGAGAAAGATATTCCATACAGATGCAAGAGGCCTCCAGGAACCAAACAGACCAGATCAAAATAGAACTACCCCACAACATACATCATTAAACAACAAGTTTCAGAAACTAAGGAAAGAATATTGAAGGCTGTAAGAGAAAAAAAACAGTAACATACAAAGGTAAACCCATCAATCACAGCAGACTTCTCAACAGAAACATTAAAAGCAAGAAGAGCATGGGGTGAGATCTTCCAGGCACTGAATGAAATAACTTCAACCCCAGGATACTCTACCCAGCAAAACTATCATTCAAAATAGATGGAGCAATAAAAGTCTTCCATGATAAGCAGAAACTAAAACAAATATGTGACCCAAAGCCACACTACAAAGGATTCTTCAAGGGATTCTGCACACAGAAAGTGAAAACCCAACTTAACCATGAAAAGGAGGCAACCAAAACCACAGGAAAAAGAAAAAGCAAAGAAGTAGAGAGTAATCACTTAGGTACACACAATCAAACCTTCAAACAACTAAGACAACTAAATGACAGGAACACCACCATACCTATCAGTACTAACACTTAATGTTAACGACTTAATTCACCCATCAAAAGGCACGCTTGACGAAATGGATTAAAAAGGAAGATCCAACATTTGTTGCTTACAGGAGACCCATTCACGACAGAAATAAGCATAGGCTTAGGATGAAAGGCTGGAAGAAGATTTACCAAGCCAATGGCCCCGAAAACAGGCAGGAGTAGCAATTACTTATCTCTGACAAGTAGACTTCAAACCTACATTGATCAAATGAGATAAAGAAGGACATTCCATACTAATAAAAGGGGAAATAGACCAAAAGGAAATAACAATTATCAACCTGTATGCACCCAATGTCAACGCACCCAATTTCATCAAACATACCCTGAAAGACCTAAAGCATATATTAAACTCCAACACAGTGGTTGTGGGAGACTTTAACACCCCATTATCATTAGATAGGTCATACCAAACAAAAAATCAATAAAGAAATCCAAGATCTAAAATATACAATAGATCAAATGGACCTAGTTTGATGTCTACAGAACATTTCATCCAACTTCTACACAATATACATTCTTCTCAGCAGCCCATGGAACCTTCTCCAAAATTAGATCATATCCTGGGCACAAAGCAAGCTCAGCAAATATAAGAAAATAGGAAATTATACGTGGCATACTATCTGATCACAATGCCAGTAAAGTAGACTCAACACAAAAGTAAAGACAAAAACATGCAAACACTGGAAACTAAATAACACATTACTTAATGAACAATGGATCATCATGAAATAAAAGAGGAAATTAAAAAGTTCCTGGAAGTCAATGAAAATGAAAACACAACCTACCGGAACCTATGGGATACAGCTAAGGCAGTCTGAGAGGAAAGTTTATAGCCATGAGTGATATATTAAAAAGACTGAAGATCCAATCAATGACTAATGATACATCTCACTCCTAGAAAAAAACGAGAACAAGCAAATCCCCAAAACAAATACGAAGGAGAGAAATTAATAAAATAGAGCTGAAATCAATGAAATAGAAACCAAAAAAAACATACAAGAATTAATGAAACAAAAAGGTTGGTTTCTTTGAAAAAAATAACGAGATCGATAGACCCTGGCAAACTCTGACTAAAATGAGGAGAGAAAAAAACCCAAATTAGTAGAATCAGGAATGCAAAGGGATAACAACAAACACCATGGAAGTCCAGGAAATCATCAGAGACTACTTTGAGAAACTATTCAAATAAATTTGAAAATCTTAAAGAAATGGACAGATTTCTAGATACTATGATCATCCAAACTGAACCAAGAGGAAAATATCACTGAATAGATCTATAACACAAAATAAAATTGAAGCGCAATCAAGAGTCTCCCAAAAAAGAAAAGTCCAGGACCTGATGGATTCTCTGCTGAATTCTATCAGACCTTTAAAGAAGAACTGATACCACCTCCCTTAACTGTTCCACGAAATAGAAAGGGAAGGAAAACTGCCAAACACATTTTTATGAAGCCAGTATTACACTCTATCCCAAAACCAGGCAAAGACACCTCCAAAAAGGAGAACATAGGCCATCTCCTTAATGAACACTTGCGAAAAATCCTCAACAAAAAAATGGCAAAACCGAATTCAACAACACATCAAAAAGATTATTCACCAACCAGTAGGCTTCATCCCAGGGATGCAGGGTGGTTCAACATACGAAAATCAATAAACGTAATAAACCACATTACAGAAGCAAAGACAAAAACCACTTGATTCATCTCAATAGATGCAGAAAAGCCTTTGATAAGATCCAACACCATTTCATGTAAAGCTCTAAGAAAACTAGGAATAGAAGGAAAGTACCTCAAATTATAAAAGCTATTATGACAAACCTAAGCAGCATTATACTTAACGGGAAGAAACTGAAACCATTCCTCTAAAATCAGGACCAGACAAGGATGCCCACTATCTCCACTCCTATTCAACATAGTACGGAATTCCTAGCCAGAGCAATTAGGCAAGAAGAAGGAATAAAAGGAATACAATAGGTAAAGAACTGTCAAAATATCCTATTTGCAGAGACATGATCCTATACCTTAAAGACCCAAAAAACTCTCTACTCAGAAGGCTTCTAGACATCATCAATAGCTACAGCAAGGTAGCAGGATAAAATCAACATAGAAAAATCATTAGCATTTCTATACACTAACAATGAGATAAACTGAAAAAGAACTGTATGAAAACAATTCCATTTACAATACCTCAAAAAAAATCAAATACCTAGGTGTAAACCTAACAAAGATATGAACGACTCTATAAACATTCTGAAGAAAGAGATTGAGGAAGACTATAGAAAGTGGAGAGATCTCCCATGCTCATGGATTGGTAGAATCAACATAGTAAAATCTATACTCCAAAAGTAATCTACATGTTTAATGCAATTCCCATCAAAATTCCAATGACATTCATTAAAGAGATTGAAAAATCTACTGTGAAATTTATATGGAAACACAAGAGGCCACGAATAGCCAAGGCAATACTCAGTCAAAAGAACAATGCAGGAGGTATCACAATACCTGACTTCAACTATATTACAAAGGTAACAATAAAAACAGCATGGTACTGGCACAAAAACAGACATGAAGACCAGTGGACAGAATAGAGGACCCAGATATGAAGCCACACAATATAACCAACTTGTCTTTGACAAAGGAGCTAAAAATATATGATGGAGAAATAGCCAGCCTCTTCAACAAAAACTGCTGGGAAACTGGTTAGCAGTCTGCAAAAAACTGAAACTAGATCCATGTTATATCACCCTATACCAAGATTAACTCAAATGGATCAAGGATCTTAATATCAGACCCCAAACTCTAAAGTTGATACAGGAAAGAGTAGGAAATACTCTGGAGTTAGTGGTATAGGTAAGAACTTTCTCAAGAACCCCGCAGCACAGCAACTAAGAGATAGCATAGATAAATGGGACCTCATAAAAACTAAAAAGCTTCTGTCATCAAAAGAAATGGTCTCTAAACTGAAGAGAACACGCACAGAGTGGGAGAAAATATTTGCCAGCTACATCAGACAAAGGACTGATAACCAGAATATACAGGGAACTTAAAAAACTAAATTCTCCCAAAACTAATGAACCAATAAAGAAATGGCGCAAGTGAACTAAACAGAACTTTCTCAAAAGAAGAATTCAAATGGCCAAAAACACATGAAAAAATGCTACCATCTCTAGCAATAAAGAAATGCAAATTAAAACCACACTAAGATTCCACCTCACCCCTGTTAGAATAGCCATCATCAGCAACACACCACAACAGGTGTTGGAGGATGCGGGGGAAAAAGGCCCTCTTTACACTGTTGGTGGGAATGTAGACTAGTACAACCACTCTGGAAAAAAATTTGGAGGCTACTTAAAAAGCTAAACATTGATCTACCATTTGATCCAGCAATACACTCTTGGGGATATACCCAAAAGACTGTGACACAGGTTACTCCAGAGGCACCTGCACACCCATGTTTATTGCGGCACTATTCACAATAGCCAAGTTATGGAAACAGCCAAGGATGCCCCACCACTGACAAATGGATTAGAAAATGTGGTATCTATACACAATGGAATTTTATGCAGCCAATGAAGAAGAACGAAATGTTATCATTCGCTGGTAAATGGATGGAATTGGAGAACATCATTCTGAGTGAGGTTAGCCTGGCCCAAAAGACCAAAAATGTATGTTCTCCCTCATATGTGGACATTAGATCAAGGGCAAACACAACAAGGGATTGGACTTTGAGCACATGATAAAAGCGAGAGCACACAAGGGAGGGGTGAGGATAGGTAAGACACCTAAAAATTAGCTAGCATTTGTTGCCCTTAACGCAGAGAACTAAAGCAGATACCTTAAAGCAACTGAGGCCAATAGGAAAGGGGACCAGGAACTAGAAAAGGTTAGATCAAAAAGAATTAACCTAGAAGGTAACACACAACGCACAGGAAATAATGTGAGTCAATCCCTGTATAGCTATCCTTATCTCAACCAGCAAAACCCCTTGTTCCTTCCTATTATTGCTTATACTCTCTCTACAACAAATTAGAAATAAGGGCAAATATAGTTTTGCTGGGTATTGAGGGGGGAGGGGAGGGAGGGGGCGGAGTGGGTGGTAAGGGAGGGGGTGGGGGCAGGGGGGAGAAATGACCCAAGCCTTGTATGCACATATGAATAATAAAATTTTTTTAAAAATACCAAAAAGAAAAAAAGATATGAAACTAAAGTATTTTTAGGCAACTCAGTCTTGAGCCAAACAGTTAGTTGTAAAATGTGCATCACAAACATTTTACCAATATAAATATTTTTATACCTTTGCAACTGAAATCCCATAGTCCTGGAGAGGTCTAACAGCCTCATTCAGCTCTTCAAGAAATATAGAGGTACTTGGAGAATCTAAAACAAGAAATGTTTCATAAATGTTTATGAACTTTCCCTTTCTAAAAATGAATTTAAAATATTAAAACCAAAATCTGTAAGCACAGAATATGTTGACTGGTCCAAGTAGACTTCAACAAAAAATAAACATACCTAGTTACATATTTTCACCCTCTTCCTTCTCTATTTGCCTCATTAGTCTTATCTCTAATATTATGATACATTATATTTCTTTTCTTTTTTGGGGGGTGGTACTGGTGGTTGAACTCAGGTCCTTCCATTTGTGAGGCAGGTGCTCTACCACTTGAACCACTCTGTCAGCCCAGTAATATAACTTTAGAAGTGACTTAAAAACTTCCTATGTAACATATCATTGATAAAAAATGCCTAATTTACTTAACATTTTCACTTAATTCTTCCAAATTTAAATCCAAGATAATACATATACATATATAAGTTATATATACATATGTAAAAAATGAAAATGTTTCTAGTTAAAAAAAAGATATACATATATATATAAAACTTATCATCAAAGTGATTTTAAAATACTAAATCACAGTTATAAATAAGGAACCAACCAGAAGTGTGGATTT